GTATACCGGAGGAAAAGGAAACAGATTAGCAAACAGCACACACGCTAAAATAAAGAAAGCATTAAGTTTCTACAGTGTGGAATGACGCCTGATGATCCAACTGCTTTAAAAATGTTGTTCTTTAGCGCAACCAAATTAGAAGCACGATACTTAGCACTACAGTACTAACTATATAATGCGATTTACATGCTGTGGCAATCCTACTTCACTTCACCATTGCGATAGGATTGCCCATAATTGCCTTAATGAAAGTCTTCGGCATATCAGTTTTCAAATCCTTGCTCAACTGGAATTGATGGTAGCCTTATGATAAACAGTCACTTAGACTTTTCCTCTGTTAAATCTGTCTAAAAATTGCTGTCTTGAGATTATTTCATACTGATCAAAGATCGTAACTACTCCTTATGGTGTAGACACCACAGATTTGCCTACCGAATTCAATGATTCATTTATGAAATGAAGAAGTGATGATGCGAAACAAGTGTTAACCTCATTAGCGTATTAAATTACATCTCTAGGTGTATTTTCAAACAAATATGGGATTTTAAGCTAAACATCTGAATGGCATAAACTTATACAAGGAAGTAATCAAGTGAAATGGACATGTTTTTTCCAACCACTATATCAAATTGCACTATTGCGAGACTTTGGGTAAAAATCAAAATGTTGATTTTCCGGGGCACGGGACACTGCTAACTGTAAACGAAAGATAATTCTAATTCAAGTTTTCCAGTAAAATAATATGGCAGCTTTTTTTTGCTCCAGCGCACAAGAGGAGTCGGTGTTTCACAGTAAATCCAAATGAGTCATACCTCTGTCCTTCTCCTTGCGTCGGTCATCATCACGTTCTCCAAAAAAGCTACCGGCTGCACCGCTGGTTGCTGAAATCGTTTCCGAGATGAATTTTTCAAAGAGTTCTACGACTTCTAATATGTAATAGCTAGAAATATGTGCAATACAGTGATAATTGCACAATGAGTGCGGAACAATCTTTGTGAAAATTTGCCAAACAAGAACCTCCATCGTCTTCTTCTGCTGTATTTTCGTTGCCGCGATGGCGATTCTTGTTCTTCTTCCGATCACGTGCAGCTTCGATACCGATGACCAAAAATGCAGTCAATGCTATCAGTAGACAGGCCCTCAAACGCATTTCTAAAGACACAATGGATTCCTTACGCAAACAATTCTAATGCCCTTATGTGTTCGCGACCATATCGGAATGTAAGATATCGAGATTGAGGAATACAAAGATGCCTTATGGAACAACTGATTCTTAAGACGACCCATAAGCTGAGATTATTAAGGAAAAAAGGCTCGTAATCTTAACAAAGAAGCGAGAAAGAATGTTACGAAACGCTTTGAAGCGGAGGACGTTATCAGTGATTTTATCTTCCCTCTTCCTTTCGAATAAACAAGTAGCCGCACACATCGATAACAGCTTCACAAACATAATACTCAAATATTGAAGTGTCTTAATACTTAAAAACAATTATATCGAATCCAATGGGACGGGACATTTTGCATTATATAAGAAGATCAGT